TGTCGAGCCGCCGCCGCAAGACAACGCTGCAGCTGATCACGCCCGAGCTACTGGACCAAGGGCGAAAGGCCAATCAGACGGTTCAACTTGCACCCAATGTGGCAGTCCGTGCGTCCACGCTACTGGAGGCTGGTCACGTTGTCGACTGGTCATTGGCTCTTGTCACTGGCCATTTGCATGCGACCGACACGACAGCCTCCATCGAACAACTCAAGGCAAAGACAGCTTGGATCGAGGACGTCGAGCTCAAGGCGCAGATTGATCGCCTCCGGTATAGCAAACGCAAGCGCTGCGCTGCGCAAGCGATGTACTAGCTCCTTCATAGCCAAAAGAGCGGGCGGACCGCATTTATGCATTGAAATTGATGCAAAAAGCACCGCTTGCACTCAATTTTCCCAAAGTTTTATTACCCCTTAATCTTGGACGATAGTGCGGACAAGGTTTTCTTGTCGCCCATCGTACGCTCGCTCCATGGACGCGGCCTCAACTCAGTTGGCCTCAACTGCTCGACAGATGCCATCAACGTGGCGGGCGGCCAAGGATCTACCAAGCACAACGCAACTAGTGCTACCTCGTTGGGTGTCTTGACGTGGAGCACTCGATTGGCAACAACGATTTAGGGAAAATAGAAAAGCCTGTAAAGCCACGATGATTTTGTGTTGGAGCTGTTGTTCAAGTACGATTTGACGCCACGTCGGCAGCATCATCCTCACAAAATTGTGATGCATGCATGGCATCCCAAAATCAACGTACTATCTCCGCAGCTCAAGAGACCAAATCTTGACCCTTCCTGCGCCCTCGATCGGCCGAATCGACCCTACTACCTACCGCTTGACCTTGCTGTGGGGTCCCTCGGCGCCGACGTACACCGTCTCGGCTCATTTCAGTCCCGTTGACAAAGACATGTGTGGTGGACCCTAACGCAGATATTTTCGACACTAAATTATACCATCAGGGACACACAACTATGGCCATCTGCTGATGATATAATGAAACACCTTCTCTCTCATGAGCACTAATATATCTAACGTTTACGTTGCAAATGTACAACATATAGGTACTAGTAGGGTTCAGGATATTGGGCTCGGGTCGAATCGAGGCGGACGATGTACTCAGATAAGGGAATCCTGACAATCCGCGCAACGTTATCCGGTGGCGGTACAAGAGCGTCCCATCATCATTCAGTCTCAGCAGTTTATGCCGGATCAAACGACGTACATACATCTCTATGGACGAAGCTTTGCGAATGGGACTGGCGTAGGGAGCGACCCCAACCCCAATGCCGCCGGAAACGTAGTGTGGTTCAACGGACTCATCGGTTCAACTTTTCCCTTCTAGTTTATCCGGATGTGTTTCATTTCAGATTGCGATGTCCTTCCGCAGCGCCGTGCTTGGCCAGCCCGAGATCGCATCGATCGTCTTTGGCTACCAGGCTGGCCTATATGAAGACGTGCGTCCAGCCTTCGTCGCCTGCGAGGAGCTCGTCGATTTTGACGCGAGCACGAAGCTCTACATGTGCGACGCGTCGTTGTACGAGGCGTTTACGCCACGCGGCGGTGCGTGGGCAGGTCCCAAGCAATTCCGTTGGACCGAGTACCTTTTGCGCACCGATGTGCGTGATGACCGCCTGCCGCTGCACGTGGCCATTGCCGGCGGCTGTGCCCACCTGGCCACGCGCATGCTGCAGTGCCGGCCAGACCTCGCCTCCGAATACGCCATTCTTTTGGCTTTTATCAAAGGCCAGTTGGAGACGGTCGAGGTCCTTCTGGATCTGCGAACGACGTTGCCTGCGCTGGTGAAGAGTGTGAACCATGCACATCGTGAGCGTACGTAGAATTCTGGTATCCTCAACTCAATGTCTTTTGCTGTAGAGAATGGCTACAAGTGGCGCTTCCCGGTGGAGTTTTTGGTCGACCTTCTCGCCAAAAATGACGCCAACAGCCTGCGTTTGCTTGCGCGCTTTGGCGCTGGCCCCAACGACTTTGAAGGTCGGCGAGAGCGCGATGCTCATTCCAATGCACAATTGTCCGAACGGGTTATGCGATCGGCCATGCAGCGTGCGACGCTTGCAAACGTGACGCTCGCCCTCGACGTCATTCCGTGGCTTCACTACCCAAGTCTCGTGGACGATGTTGCGGGCCGAGGCTTCTTGCCGCTCGTACGCTCGCTGCACGAACGTGGTGTCACGTGCTCGACGGACGCCATGGATCAGGCGGCGGGCAATGGTCATTTGGAGGTCGTTCGCTTTCTCCATGAGCATCGAAGCGAGGGCTGCACCACACGCGCCATGGACTTTGCTGCGACCAACGGTCATTTGGAGGTCCTCACGTTTCTGCATTTGAACCGGACCGAAGGCTGTACGACCGCAGCGCTTGACGGTGCTATCAGCAACGGCCACCTCGGCATTGTTCGCTTCCTCCTCGAGCACCGATCCGAGGGTGCGTCGCCCAACATCCTCGACCGCGCTGCTGCGAACGGCCACCTCGACGTCGTCCAGTACCTCCACCATCAAGGCTCGTTTGGCTGCACTGTCGACGCCGTCGACACGGCCGCTTCCGGTGGCTATTTGGAGGTCGTCACATTTCTCTTGACCAACCGAAGCGAAGGCTGCAGTCGCGACAAGGTTGTTCGAAAGGCGTTTGAGCAAGGGCATCTGCGCACGGCTGAGTACTTCCTCTCGCTCCAGTACCCAAGCCCGACTGAAGACATGAAATTTCATGCTTTTGTGTGGAGTCAACCCGAGATGCTTGACGTCCTCCGGCTGTACTTTGTCCACGGCGGGACTTTGGACTGGAGCTACATGCTTTCCGCGTGCTGCGCCAACAACCTACCCCTCGTCCAGTTCTTACATGCGCACCTGAATGGCGGTCGCTATGGCCCCTTCACGATCGGGAAGATGATTCAGAGGAAGGCGTGGGACGTCCTTCACTTTCTTCTGGCCCACGTTACGATGGATGATTTGAAGCAAGCGCTCCTTTTTGCGCTGGTGACAGGCCATCTCGGTCTCGTCACGCAACTGCTGGAGCGTCAGCCCGAGCTCCATGACGACGAGCTTCTTCACGTAGCTCTTGGACGCGGCAACATGGAGGCGATGCGCTACCTCCTTGCTGCCGGTATTGGCAACCCGCGCGAGTGCCTTCGCGAGATTGTAGGTCGTCGACAGTACGTGACGACGAGCACATTCTTGCTGCCGTACTGCATGGACCCGACCCACCACGTTGACAACGTCAGCTTTCTTCTGGACTTGCTCGCGCTGC